TGGCAGCATGAATTGCTTTACTCTGTGAATAGAGAGTGCTTGAGCTGTCAAGGAGGTATGGGTGATAGCACCAAAACCCACAACAAAAAGCAGCAGGGAAGAAACAAATTGTATGCTGTTGCCTGACAGCAGTAATTATTATGCAAAGGCCATATGGCACCTAAGGTCTCCTATCTCTTCTTCTGAGATTACTTACTTAACGATATACTTTCAAACACTATGTATGTATTTTCAGCTCCGTGTTTATTAAATAATGAATTTGTCCAATGAAACATATATAAATTACTTTATGGAACATTGATTAATGGATTCATGTACAAAATTCTGTGGGATTTGCAGGATTCAAGACTAAACTAGGAACAGTTCAGCCAGTTTCTCTGAGGAAAGTAATTGGGGTTTTCAAATGCAGTTTTATTACAGTATAGTATGTAGTTTCTTTGACTCCAATATGGACTTTTACGTGTAATTCAGAGGCTATATTTTCATGTAATCTTAACACGTTTTCCCATAATTTTTTCCACATTTCGTCTTTCAATAGAAAATGTATAAAGCAAGTATGAAAGGAATGGATGCACATTCAGATTTTAAGCCCTTTAAGGTTGATCATTTTTTTTCCACAATTACAAAGCTAGTCAGGATCAGCTGTAATGAAAAGTGGATAAATCATGTGAACCTAAAATGTGATTGGCTATGTGATCTACTCATGTAATTTCTGTCACCACTAAACAGAACAACAATCCATCAATCCATTTCAGTTTCCAGGCAGCTTCCCATAAATATGGGAAGCTGCACCTTCAGTCTTGGCTGTTTGGAACCATTAGCCTTTGACTCTCTCAGATTATTTTTCTAGCAGATAATACTCAACATGCTGTGAGAACTGAATTATTATGAATGCAGATAAATCATAACCAATTTAAATTTATTGCATTTTTAATGTCATGTTTTTGTGATGTTTTTCAAAGTCCTATTGCTTCTTCAACTCTTTTCTCTCTGAATAAATTATTTAACTCAATTTGACTTTTTTTAAAAAACAGTATTTTTTTTCCCATATGTTTGGAGAGGAGAAGACATCTGCATCATAATAGCCTTTATACTTTTCAGATCATTCACAGTATTTCACTAAATTTTGTGTCTTCTGTGCTTTTGGAAGGTAAATTCAGAACTTGGTGTGGTTGACTATTTCATGAGCCAAGTTTATGGGAACAAGAAGCTTCAAAACTCTGTATAAATATAAACTACTCCAGTTAGAATCAGTATATAAAGGCAGTCTATTCTGATTTACAGAATAAAAATAGCAAGCAGTAGCATTTAGACTTATATACTACCCCATAGCACTTTACCTCTAAACCTCTATGGGCGGTTTACAATGTAGAAGCATTATTTTCATAGTGGTCCCAACATTCTGGGTCCTCATTTTACCAATCTCAGAAGGATGGAAGGCTGAGCCCCTTCAGGATTGAACTCCAGGCTGTGGGCAGAGTTTGCCTACAATGCTGCACTTTAACCACTGAACCACCAGATGAGCAGAACTCTGATTAATAAGCCTGCCAGGAAGGCAAGTTTTCATTTCCCAATTCCATGATATCTTGAATGAGGAAAACTTAGTTTCCTTCATTTGTTATTAGTCAATTGGAAGATCAATAGATCTTATATCCTAATATAACTTCATAGATCTTCATTGAGATACTTATTTCAATTATGATGTTTTAACAACTGAAGCAGTACTGCAACAATTGGATCTATTCCCCAGGCCTTGGAATATTTTGTTCATCAACTCGACAGCCTCAGGCTCTGAAAATATGGGTTGAATAAAAATAAAATTTAAGAAGCTTAATAGAGGCAAATGATGAGATGTGCCTTGCCATACAGTATCTAACATTTTTCTAGGCAATGACAATTTTCCTTTTTAGAAGAGTTTGAAGACAAAACAATTATATGCATGAGACAGACAAAAGTGCGAAAAGTTGAAGAACAGTACGGACACCAAAGCAATGTGTACAATGTTGAATTATCCATAGAGCTTTGCCTTGATGAATTATTATTGTAGATATTCAAAACAATATTTCATTAACTTCAAAGATCCTGCTTAGGTCAGAATCTTTGTTCAGGAATTTTCTCTAATTCTAACCCCAGTGGGTATATGTTTATGAAGACACATATTACTGACAGAAAACTGTAGGAATGGCTGTTCCCCCCGTTTTGTTATCTGAGAAATAACCTTACCTTATGGCTTTCTTTAATCTTAATTTTGAATTGACAGAAAGTAGGGCTTTTACTGATACATGATAGTTTTATGAATTAGCTGCTCCCTTGTTTGCATGATACACATATAGAGGTCTGCATATAATTAACAAGCCATTAAGTCCAGGATAAGTATGTATAGAATTTAAACTATAGAGACATCTTTTTTTCTAATAAAATATAAGAAAATGCAGTTGTCTAACTTCCTATTCAATGCAATTGTATGTAAAAAGAGAATTGCTTTTAGTTCAAAACTTTTAAATACTATTAGTGCCATTTTTATAAAAAATGTAAACAACCAAAGGATTGACAAAGATATGAAAAGAACTCATTTGGCTCTGTCTTTAATGTGAAAGAAAGAAGCATAATGAATGTAATAGTCTACATAAACTAAAGGAGAGATGTAAGATGCTTTGAGAGATGTAAGTAGGCTTGAAAAACCATTGCGAGAGAACTATTCAAGTAAAATATTTGAATATTAGATAGCAGTTGGAAAATTATTCTTCATGAGCCTCATTAACACATATGTTCATTATAGTAGTTGATGGGACCATATTCCTAATCATATATTAGAACCCAAAATATTATGCTCTCAGTTGGAAACCATGTAGAATCATACAATAGGACAACATATAAATTATGATAAATGAATAACTAAATGCTCAAATTATTATTTACTGACAACACTTACTGAATCAGCATTGGTTGAAATTATTCTAGCTTCTGGACTGAGGATTTGGTCTTGCAAGACACTGAGATTTAGTGTATGTCAAAACGACTAAACTCAAATATTTGTACCACTTAAACTAAGCTTTTGAGAAGATCTATCATTGATTTGGAGGATAGGGGCCAAATTTATTATGGCATGAACTGCAGTACTGGCTTTTAACACCTCTGTTAATGTTTTGATAGTTAAGAGAAGGGAATTGTGAACTGTGAAACCAGAAGACCCAGATCTCTGCCATGGGCCAGAAGTCTGGCAAAGGGCTTTCAGGAAGGAGCAATCTTACTTTCATTTTTCTATTGTTGTTGCTGCTGGTATTGCTGTTACTGGCAAAGTCATACTCCATTCAAGGAACACAAGGGAAATAAGGAGAAACTGAAGGAAGTTGTCACTGGTCCTTAATGCTGGAGTGATTGTCACTATAATATTTTGAATAAAATCTCCATGTACTGAATTATTAAACATTTCAATTGTAATTTGGAAGGGAAATGTCAGGAAAAAAGTTACACAGGCAGCAAATACCAGAATACCACTTCGAAGGAAGTGAAATGTATGTAATAACATACATTTATAGTAAACCTTCAATCATTTTCAATTCAAAATCTAGTAAAGTTCTCAAAAGTAATGCAAATTGCATCTATCGGTATAGATTTCAGGATTTTAGTGTTTAAAGCTGTAATTTTTGAAGTTGTGAAAATGAATGGCTCTATTCATCTGTAAGTTCTTAGCATTATCTTTTAAATATGTTGTGTGCATATACAGTATGTAAGCACATTTATTGGCTACAATGGAGAACAGGTAAGAGGAGATTTAGGTTTCAGGGTTTTGCAAAACAAACAAACAAAGGAAATTGCCATTATGTGGCAATATATTGCCATTATGTGGCAATATTACCATTATTTTTTCCCCAAAACTCACTCTTCATTTGATATACAGCCTTTTCATGTATCAGACAAACAATTTACTGTTGAGAGTCCCAATTGGAGATGTGCATATAAATATAGACTACATGCATTCTTGCATATGCTTAGTTTCTGTTTATTTCCTACTATTAGGTACACAGATTTTATATGTTAATAATCTAATTGTATAACAAGACTTGAATATCAACTGTAAATTCAATGTAGCAGTGGGACCAATTGTCCAGGGAGAGTTGCCTTTAAGCTGAGCAGCCTACTGTTGTATTTTAATGTGGATTCCTGATTTGAGCAGAGATTTGGGCTTAATTATGTGAAAAAAATCTTTTTCCTTCCTCTTTTCTTTCTTTTTGTGCATGTTTAATAAAACAATACAAATATGCAAAGTCTGTGTGGTAAAAGCAACACCTTACATAACAATCAGATTTGGAAGGGACCTTGGAGGTCTTCTAGTCCAACTCCCTGCTTGAACAAGAATACCTATACCATTTCAATCAAATGGCTGTCCAATCTTTTCTTAAAAGCTTCCAGTGATGGAGCATCCACAACTTCTAAAAGTAAGCAGTTCCACTGATTGATTATACTAACTGTCAGGAAATTTCTCCTTATTTCTAGGTTGGATCTCTCCTTGATTAGTTTCCATCCATTATGTCTTATCCTGCCTTCAGGTGCTTTGGAGAATAGGTTGACCTGTCCTTTTTTGTGGTAGCCCCTTAGATATTGGAAGATTGCTATCATGTCAATAGTCTCCTAGTCTTTCCTTTCATTAGATCCAGTTCCTGAAATTATTCTTCATATAATATGTTACAATAAATAACAAGGGCAAAATAAAACACATGAGAAATACTTAAGCCCAAAAAATCTCTAGGAACTAATTCACCACACATCATAGCATTGTGGCAAATAACTTCAATCTGGCACCAGATTGCTAAAAAGAAGAGCCAAATCATTTCCTGATCTGTTATGTAAATGGACAGAGTAAACAAATATCAATAAGATCAAAAGCACTGTCACTTTTTCTCAACGCAAGCCTGTCTTCTGACCAAACATCTGGACTATGAATTTGTGGATGTTATAGTGCAATGTCATAAAATAGTAAGAATCCTCATTCTTTTCAGATCCTTTTGTCAACATTATCACTTCACCTCAGTTAAAGCAGAAGAAAGGAGGAGTGACTATGGCTAATCTCCAAGACAGCAACACAAAAGGCACAAAAAGACTTTCCAAAGGTTTGTTAAGCTCTCCTTCAAGTTGAAGAGACTTCAGCTAATACAACTAGATATGGTGCAGTTCTATTGCTTTGACATATTGACAAATTGCTGTTTGTCAGAACTTCCCACCTGGGGCAATGTTTCTGTTGTGCCATTGAAGAGGTCTCAGATTCAGCTAACCAGTCATCACAGAGCCTAGATTTTGGCTGTAGTAATGTTAGTATAAGAATCTACCCTGAGAATCAAAGATATTGCTAGATACTCACATACCATCATTATGAACTTCTGGACATAAATTAAAGAGGGAATCAGTCACATTTATACATGCTATATACTTCAATAATTCAGTGCAGAGTGATAAAAGAGCTTTTCCTGCCATTAGATCTTTATTCTTCAGGGGAGAAAAATGAAAACGATAGAACCAAAATGAAACATTAATTTTGGAAGCTAGGTTGATAATAAAGAGAATGGAATGGAAGAGAACATAGTCTCGTCACCTGGAAAATGATGTGAAGAGTCTCATAGCCTGAGACAATCTTCTCCTACATGAGGTAGATGCAACTGAAGCATTCCTAATAAATAAGTGCCTCAGCTCTGCTTGAAAACTTTCTTTCATGCTATTAGAGAACTTTCTTTTCACCCTGCATCTACATCTATTGTCAAACTGCTCACATTTCTAGAAATTCATTCTAAACATTCAGTTGGAATTTGCTTTCCTGTAACTTAAAAATACATGGGACTTGGTGGCTCAGTGGCTAAGACGCTGAGCTTGTCGATCGAAAGGTTGGCAGTTCAGCAGTTCAAATCCCTAATGTCATGTAACGGAGTGAGCTCCTGTTACTTGTCCCAGCTTCTGCCAACCTAGCAGTCGAAAGCACATAAAAAATGCAAGTAGAAAAATAGGGACCACCTTTGGTGGGAAGGTAACAGCGTTCCGTGTGCCTTTGGTGTTTAGTCATCCAGCCACATGACCACGGAGACGTCTTCAGACAGCGCTGGCTTTTCGGCTTTGAAACAGAGATAAGTAGTGCCCCCTAGAGTCGGGAATGACTAGCACATGTGCGAGGGGAACCTTTACCTTTACCTAAAATATTACTTTTACTTAAAAATATTACCTTTACTTTAAAATATTACTTTGCAAAAAGGGATGACATTCCTTCAAGTGGCCCCAACGACTCTCTAAAAGAATGCAAACAATCAGTTATCTTGCAAGGAATATAAATCCTTCCATTCCCCACCATTCAGTCACAGCTGAAGAAGTTTCTTGGATGAAAAGTGAAATGCCCTCAAAGAAAAAACAAGAAAGTCCAGTTGCCTCATGAAAAAGCACCCTTGGGACACAACCATGACCTGGATGACTGAGAATCTCCATAGACTTTTAGCTATGTATTTTGGAATGAACGCTCTTCAAATGGTGTGGGAGTATGAACGGATTTCCAGAAAAAAAGAAGCTTCTTGCATGAGGAAAAAAAAATATCAATAAAGGAAAAACAAGAAATTCCAGTTGCCTCCTGAAAAAGCATCTCTGGGATTCCTTCAAGAACCGTGCTTTCTTCTTAGACTTTTTTCTAAAGCTTGAGCAAAGTTAAACATATCCAGTTCCTACGGACTTTCCTCCTAGGATTTATTTTTCAATGCTCTGCACGGTCCTTTTCTGAACCCTTTCTGATTTGTGTGAACCCTTCTTATAGAGCCATGTTCATCCTTGAGGACTTTAAGGCTCATGGGCTATAGATGAAGTGGGCTTGATCAGTAGAGAAAAAACAATGGAATTATCCCTTCCCTTAATTTGCACACAACATTTCTATAGATGCAACCTGAAATTATATTTTTCTTTTTTATAACCATGTCAGACTGCCAATTAGTACTCAGCTGCATTCTAATTATCTAAAATAACAGATTAAGGTTGATATTTACTGTATTTTTAATGTTGGTCATGTTACTTTTTGAGGGGCAGGGTCCCGTGTTGAATATTTTATAGGACCTAAAAGATTGTTAAAGCATTTTTTTTAAAAAAATATTAAAAGCCCTGTCAATTTAGTACCCTTCTGCAGTTGTGTCATGCCTACTGAACTTTATATCTTTACTCCAAATTTGCATTTTGGCCAATATTCGTATCCAGCTTCTTTGCAAAATTGGCATTGGCTTTCTGTCTCACTATTTCTGTGGTTCACTTTCCACTGAGGGAAAGCTTGATTGTAGCAATGAAAGCTGAAGTGTCACTTCAGCTGCCAATTCGATCTTTGGGTTTGTCAAGTTATTGCTATGGGGGGAGAGGGGGGATTGACTTTCTGGAGAACATGGGAATGGTAAAGGAGAAAAAAGTAGTAACCTAGTAACCAGGTATTTTGTATTTGTTTAAGTCATTCTACAAATCCAGTCTTATTTTTTTAAAAAGAAGGGCCTGGTGGCTCAGCAGACTGATAGCATTGTGATTAACACCAGCTGTCTGCAATTACTGTAAGTTCGAATCTCACCAGGCTCAAGGTTGACTCGGCTTTCCATCCTTTCTAAGGTAGGTAAATTGAGGACCCAGTTTGTGGGGGCAATAAGCTGACTTTGTATAAATATACAAAAGTATGAAGGCTATTGCTTAACGCATTGTAAACCGCCCTGAGTCTCCGGAGAAGGGCGGCATATAAATCAAATTTTAAAAATAAAAAATAATAAAAAATGCTTATTTCCCCAAGGAAGCAAGCAGAAGGTTCTATTTTACCAGCCTAGAGTGCCAACTTCTAACAGGATTATATGAGGCTTTACCATGGGCCTGAAGTATTAAAAAATGCCCTTAGCAGTAGGTCAAGATTCAAAGAAATACTCAGGAGAAATCAAGCAGACCCAGGGCTGCAATATTGAACAGTGCCGGAAGACCTGTGTTTGAGCTTTCCAAGATGCTTAAAGAAGCTACATATTTCTTGGAAACTGGGTCACATTTTGCTTTGAAAATCTTAGCCTTAATGAATTAGTTTATAGTATAGGAGTAATAGGAAATTTGAACCCTCAACACAAATGTATATATATAATGATGTTTCAATCTGTCTCTACTTTGACTGAGGTGAGCATTCCTTGTCAATTAGTGACCTGATCCTACATAACTGTGCTTATGTATTTAATGATTCGAGTATTGCAAAGCATTCAGATCTTGTGCATCTGCCCTGATATATTACTAGTCCTTTGCCTTCATATAGGCAGACAGACAAATAATGGACACCCAGAAATTACCCACCCCCCCATTGTAATGATACTGAGGTGGTAATGGCTAATCATGTGGGAAAGATAGATAAGAGGATGAGCCGAGGAAATTTGCAGGAAGCAGGACTGGGGATTTTCCTCTCTTATTTAGGATTGTGAAACTTTTAAATGTCATATGCTCATAAAACAGATTGCAATCCTGTTTAGCCAGATTCAAGTGGCCATGACCATAATAATGCCTGCTGCTTCACTAGGCAGGCCACTGAAATATGCTGTCTTGAATAGTTTTGATGTAGATATTGATAATGTAAATAATCTGTTCAGGATCCGAAATGTAAACTAAACAGATGTGTTATAGAGAGAGTTGGATGTCATAGAGATTCAGTTAGTTGTTGTATGGATGCCTCTTTTATGGCCGCTGTAGAGATTGAAGTAACAATAAATGAATGCAGCCACATAGTGGGGTTGTTATCATTCTGTACTTTTAACAATCTGAGCTTGCAATAGAAGACGAGATGACACATTCCCACAAACATTGACAGGCCAAGGTTCTGTGAATAAGCAAGGAACATAACCCACACTCGCTGGCACTGATTACGTTACCTAGTCTATGAAACATCTGCAAGCTCAGAGAGCACTTCACAATTTTGAGCTTGTTTGCAGCAGTTCATGGAACCTTTTGAGGCTACTAGGATAGAGCGCAAAGACAGATTGATTGATTATGTGCCATCAAGTTGCTGTTTACCGTTAGCAACCACATAGATTTTTCTCCTTAACAGTTTGTCCCTAACCTGTGTTTTTAGATCTTTCAATGGTACACCTAATACCTCTATAACTGATTCCTTCTACTTTGCTTCTAGTTATCATCTTCTCGCTCCTTCCACCTTTTCCAGCATTGAAAACTTCTCTATAGAGCTAGCTCTTTGCATAATGTGACTAAAGTAGGAAAAATTGTGCTTTTTTGTGATGATCCATTCCTGTCCATATTGTTCTCAGAAGAGGTCTCCAACAGCAAACTTTAATACTCTTCTTATTCTGCTTCTTCAAATTCAACTTTCACTTCCATAGAGTATCACAGGAAATACCCTGACTTGCGTAATTCTGATCTTTGTTGGTTTAGATCAAAGGTGGGTTTCAGCAGGTTCTGACCAGTTCTGGAGAACTGGAAATTTTGAGTAGTTTGGAGAACTGGTAAATACCACCTCTGACTGGCCCCGCCCCCATCTATTCTCTGCCTCCTGAGTCCCAGCTGATTGGGAGGAAATGGGAATTTTGCAGTAACCTTCCCCTGGAATGGGGTGGAAATGGAGATTTTACAGTATCCTTATCCTGCCACGCCCACCAAGCCACACCCATAGAACCGGTAGTAAAAAAATTTGAAACCCACCATGGTCTAAACCACATTATGACATTTCAATATTTTTTCCAAAGCCTACATGGCTTCTCTACCAACTACTAGTCTGTGACATTTCTTAACTGTTCCTTTGCTGTTGATGGTTGATCCTAAAAGGCAGAATGTATCCACTGCTTTGATATCTTCATTGTGAATTCTGTCTGTTGGTTGTTCTATCTGTTATTGTCACTTTGGCTTTCTTTATAATTAATTTTAGTCCATTGCTTCATTTTGCTCCATAACTTTTATCAGTAGAGCTTGAAAATCTTTTGCATTTATAGCAGGGTGTATCAGCATACTGCAGGTTATACTCCAATTTTAAAACCATGTTCATCTTCTTTCAATACAGCTTCTTCTAATATATATTGACAAAGAAAGAGTAGGCTTGTCACTCTTCTTTGCCAGTGTTCTGAACCATGCTTTTATCCTCAGG